GCCCCAACAAGCCTGCTCTCCCTAGACAAACCCCCAGGAAAGGTGCAGCCAAGCAAGACAGAAAACTTTTAGACAACAACCACTCTACTCTAGCCAAACACCACAGAAAAAACTGGAGTTCAAGCCCACCCAGGCTAGCAAAGGCTGAGGGGGGAGCCTCGACTTCCCTTCTCATCAGACTGATCAATGATGTCAATTGGTTAGGGTTAGTTTCTAACCAAATATCTTTCTAAATGTCAGGCAGCTTCAGAAAATTTTAAGAGTCAATACTGCAAAAAACAAACACATATCATTGACCACACCATTTGCAACAGATAAATTATAAGCACATATCCCTACTTTGTCCTGGTTCTCTACCTAGCTCCTTACCCCTCCTTTCTGTTTCTTTCTCTTCTTCCTCCTACTCCCAACTACTGACATCCTCCAAACTCCTTGGTCTTATTCTTTTCTCTGTATACTTTTTTTCCCTTATGGAAACTGTTTATCTTGTTTAAATTCAACTCTCCCCTCTAGGCAGTAGACTCACCTGTTCTCTTCTGTCATGCCTTTCCTGTGCCCAGAAACCTTACTGCCTTCCATTAGGAGTCTACACCCCTTTGCTGGATTTTATGGTCCTCACCCTTTCTTTCCCAGCTCTCAACACGCAAGTTCCCCTCCAATCAGAAAAGTCGCCCCTCTGTCTTTCCAGCCTGTATGCCTCAGAGCTCACATCATTTCCACACACACAACATACCCTCCCCTCCTCCCCAATACCAATTTAAATGATCTGCAAATGTCCCCAGCCCAGCCTACCTCTTCCACAAAGCCTTCCTTGACTATGCCAGGGCCCAGGAAGCTCTCCTCCTCTGAACTCAAAATTGAGCATCCCAGGCTCTGTTCATCTGACTTGCCTTAAAAATCAGTTTCTTTGAGAACTAGAAAATATTAACTAATATTTGTTTATTGCTTTCCATAGCTTTCCTCTCGACAAGTTTTATAAACATATAACATCTCTAAGCTAAAGAGATCTTAACTGCAGTTAATACAGTGCTTAAAATCATTGCTTTCCCTTTGTTTCTCTCCATTCTTACAACAAATGGAAGAGGTAAAAATTAAGATAGTAAGACTGATTTCCTAAGATCAAAACTGAAATCTTATAAACACATTTTACATAAATAAAGATAATTAAGCTAAGAAAAATTGATAGTTTATCATTAATTATAAATAATAATTTTAGCTTAGTACCTTCTTTGACTAATAGTCATTCTAAATTACCACAGGATACAAGGTAAATAAGTCTGTACCTAGAGATATAAAAATAAATGTGAAGGTTTTAGTAGTCTTTAAATTGTAATTCACAAAATATAAAATCCTTTGGAGACCTCTTGTGGTCAAAGTTAAGAATATCAAAAAAACTAATACTTTAAAACGGATATTCTATAATTCAGAGCCATTCTTCTGCCTTTTCTCACACAGCTTTATTATTTCTTCAATATTAATATAATATCAACCATTAAATGACAACAACAGCTGTTTTTACCTTCAGATTGACAGTGGAAGAAAAAGAAGGGATTCTGAGACACAAGAAACTAGTTATCACTATTCAAAACGGACAAGAAGATAGCACCAAAAACACAACAAAACAACTTTTCTCCTTGAAATTCAATGCTATTCTGTTTACTGGGATTAAATACAGAACAGAATTTGGCAAGTTATGTTCTTCATACCTAATTAAAAGCGTTCTCTATCCCCATTGCTAATTTTTTCTTTTCTTTTTTTAAAATATGGCTGGGAGTTGTATCTCAGGTTGATAAAGGCTAAGTTTCACAGATGTTAAAATGGACCCACTAGCATTTAGGGGGAAAATTAAGATAGGACCACATCTCAAACAATAAAGCAAAATTTTTAAAAAGTGAATTAAAAGTTGAAAGCTAAAAATTAATTTAAAAAAAAATACATTGACTAAAGTAAAATACAGATGATTATTAAAGTATTTTCAGAATGAGGAGAGATCTTTCTAGGATATAAATAAAGGATATAAATTAAAAAAAATAAATAAAAATTTAAAAAAATAAATAAAAAAAAAATAAAGGAATGCTACCATAAGCATGGGGGACTTAATTGGTCCAGGCAGTCTACTAAAAACACACAGAAATAGTGAATTAAAATATAATAAAAAATTTTTTTTCAAGAGAGTTAAAAAAAAAGAGGAAATCCCCAAGGGCCAAGAACAATAAGAGAGACATAGCTATAGGTGGGAGGAGACACCATAAAGGGCCATCCACAGAGCGTGGAGTAAGAAGGTCCAACATACTCCTGACAGGAGTTCCAGAAGAGAACAGGGGAGAGACAGTATTAAAAGAGATAATGGCTGACAGGAATAATAAAAATAGCTTCCATCTATGCAGAGCTCTCTATGCCTGCCGGGCACTGTTTCAAAGCCCTTTACCTTTATATTAATTTACTTAATCCTCACAACAATCCTATGAGGTAAGCACTCTTACTATTCCTATTTTTAAAAAAAGGAAACTGAAGGACAACACAATTGAGTAATTTACCCAAAGTCACTCAGGGGAAAGCCGATTTTCCAAACCAAACCCTATGTCACAGGAGCCACACTGACCATTTGACTTTCAAATCTCCACTATTCCATTCTGTCCAAATCAGCTTTAGATACTCCACAGAAATGTAGATTAATTTTTGACTTTGCTTAGTCCATCATGTGAATAAAATTTTAAAAATAAACATAGGAAAAATTATATATTCCCAAAGCCAACCAAAGAAATACAAATTAAAACAAGAGAAGGCAGTCACCAAATTTGGTAAAACCCACATATGACACCCAAACTATCTTTGGTATGCCAAATGGCTTTTGAATCTCATTTGATGAATAAACATTTAGGAATATCCCCAGGCAATGCTGCCTGCCAGCCAAAAAATTCAGTTTTGGCAATGTTTTTGTGGAATGTTTTGATATTTTACTGAATTTTGCCTTTATCATCTTATAAAAATAAGTGGAAATCAAAAAAACGAGTGTCGATTCAATTGATCAACTTTAGTATCAATTACATCTCAATTAATCAAATACACACTCAGTTATGAAGAAAAATTCAAAAACTTGACAACGAAATACTGGAAATGAAGTTTTAGAACACTATCTTAAAATTTTTTAGAGATTTTATTAACTTTTTTAGCTCTCCGAGAGCAGCACCCCTTATAAGTCTACTGTCTGACTTTTAATTATTCAAGTTTGAACACACTGTCAGGAAAACGATTAAGAACAAAATAATAGGACTTTAATAAGGACTTAAATAAGAGCTTTGTAAATGTTTATACCCTCTGACCCAGTAATTCCACTTTTAGGAATTCAGCTTAAGGAAATAATCAGAAATGCACATAAATATTTCTATGCATGAATATTCTTTACAGCAATATTTGTAATACTGAAAAAAAACATAACATAATGAAAGGGTATAGATAAATTATGATCCACCTACATCACTGAATGTTATGCAGTCATTTTGTTTTCATGAGTACCCAATGAAATATTAGGAAATGAAACGATGTTCTCTAGGATTTGCTTCAAATAAATAATCCAGGTAGGAAGGGTTATGGATGAAATGAAATCGGCTGAGCTGAGAAATGTTGAAGCTGGTTGATGGATCATGGGGGTTCACTATACTATTCTGTATAATTTTGTATATGTTTGAAATTTTCCATAATAACGTAAAAAAATATATGGGGAATTTTAACTAAAAAAATGGGATACAAGACTGATTTTGCAACAGGAATCCAAGTTTATAAGCAAAAAAAGGTGATATACATATGCAGAAATAATATACCAAAAAGTTTAACGGTAGTTATCTCTGGGTTGTAGGATTTGACTTAATATTTTTATCTTTTTTTTTTTCTAGCTCCCAATTTCTCCTAAATGAATATGGATTACTGTTACAATCAAAAAATATATTATGAAAGCTACTTTAAAAGAAGTTCAGTTCAAATGAAAAAGGAACACTCAACTCTAAGAACAAAGAAACATATGGAATTTCACTCAGTTTGATTTTCCAACTGATTTGTCAACCCACAAAATGGAAATCTTTACGGCTCCCCTGCCTAGTCTAAAGTCCAAATTCCTCAATAGATAAAGTCCTCTTCACTCGAGCCCCAGCCCACCCTTCCAGGATCTTCTCCCACCATGCTCCTCCAGGTAGCAGTATAGAATCTTCCCAACCACGCACCTTCATGTTTGTCACTTAATACATCCTGCTTCGTGAATCAGTCAGTTATGTACACCTCTGCTTCTCCTGCTGGATTATAAACTCTGCCAGACACAGACCACAACCACATCTTCTTCCTCTGTATGCCACAGTGCCTAGCACACTGCCTCATAAATGAGAGATGTGACCTTAGATCTAGTAAATAAAACTACTAGACACAGCCACAAATTGAAACTTGCAGCAGCACAGATAAAGCATTTTCAAAATTATATAAACTACCTACGAAACAAACTCTAGGGCCGGCCCCGTGGCTTAGCAGTTAAGTGCACGCACTCCGCTGCTGGCGGCCCGGGTTCGGATCCCGGGCGCGCACCGACACACTGCTTCTCCGGCCATGCTGAGGCCGCGTCCCACATACAGCAACTAGAAGGATGTG